AGAGTGGAGAATACGATGTGTTCATCTGTGGGTTGCGGAGCCATATATATACATATATGTGGGTGTAATACTATTATAGCCGTGTGGGCTGCTTCGTAGTGTTATAGGCTGACCGTTGACCAGCTAAATCAAAGATAACGAATGAATCAAACACTTGACAGATAATTGACACTAAAAAATTCTATTGATGTTTAAATAATGGACTGGGTCAGAACTTGGTCCTTGGACCATTCACATATTGATCATGCGTACGGTTGTGCGATTGATCTCCCAACATTTTTCTTCAAAATTCGATAGTGAGGCAAAGACTAGTTCAACCAGTCATGCAGTACTGTTCTCTGGGTGACTATTCTTGTTGCAACACAAACTATCATTGGTCTTTTACAACTTCCAAATGTATTACTTGAAATACTGAATAATAACATATTATATATACATATATGTACACATATACATATGCATAGACATGTTAAAAAATATTGTATTCAGTCTTTTCTATAACAAAAAACATTTTTAGTATGCTTATTTTAATTATAAAAAATAATTTTTTTCTCAGAGACATTAAGTGTTAAATTTTTTTACATATTCATTTATTTTGAAATTATGTTAATAAGGTATATGTTGATTATCTGTATAAACGAATATATTTATTTATTATTATAAATATTTTTAAAATATTACATAAATTTATAATATTAACTATTTTTATTAATCTTGATTAATTATTTTTTTATAAAAAGAGCAAAAGAGGAACATTTTAACAATAAAAAAGCAACAAAAATTCCTCTAAAGTATTAAAAGAATATTTATCAACTTCTATAAGAATCGCCATATATACTGTATCTTTTTTATACATATGATTGTGTTATGCATGCTTTGAGTTGTTGGGGGTTGTGACGATGACATTTGAAGAAACATTATCGGTCACTATTGTTTTCTTGCCATTAATATCATTGACGAATGACAAATTATGATAAGCCGCTAAGTTGACAGGTTAATAACACTTTATAAGTGCCCCTAAAACAATTGGCGTCCTTGTTTTTTCCATCTAAAAATGTTATCTCTGTTAATTTTAATGTGAATACCCAAAAGATGATGTTTTCAAAATTCATATCATTACAAATGTCACTGTCGGTATTAGTAAAATCTCCCTGACATTTCAACCAAAATTTGCTCGGTACCTACCATAATAATAAGTAGTGGGAAGTGCCAATGGAATAATCTAGGTACACTAATTTCACATAAATCTTTCTCAACTCTTTACTAGTGCGGAGTGCCAACGCCATGATCTAGGTACAATGAAGCCACATATATCTCTCCCAGCTCTGGCACCTCTACATGATCATCATCAGACTCCACAATAACTAGTGTTGTCTTATAGTCCTATCTTATAGCAGCATTGTTGTAGCTGAATATGTATTCAAGCAATAACAGTAGTGCTTGGAGCTCTTTTCTTTTTCTTTGTTTTCACAAAAAATTAAGGACCATGACTTTACTGATTTTAAAATTTAAATGCTGTAACTCTCAAAGAAAATTATACAATATTTAAAATGAATTGCTAATAAAAAAACCAACAAAAGTAGTTGGACATAATTACCTTCCTATGATTTTAAATATTGAATCAACCAATCATCACTTGTCATGCTAGTTTATCAACAATATTAACCCTCGATATTTTGTAGTACACATTTATTTAAATTAAGTTATGAATTCACTTTGGATATATTTACAAGTGAGGTTTTTTCAAAAGAAAGGGAATAGAGGATAAACTAATTCACAATATTTTTTATATAAATATTAATTTTTTTTAATTTTGAAATAAAAAACTATCTTCTCTTTTTGTTTTGACCCCCATTTCCAAATGTACTCTTAATGCAATGAAGTTCTATCTTTTTCTTTTCATTCAAAAATGACTTCAGCCTGAAATCGCATTCAAGAAAAATTAGTCTTTTTACTACTTGAACATACCCATCAGTTAATATAAGGAATATCTAACATGTCTTTTCTTTTCCTGAATTGTGTGTGTGTTGAAATTGTGGTGATGTAAGTAAATAAATGCAATATACATAATATAAAAGTAGAATAATTTTGATAATCATTATAAATACACCTCTATTATTTTTAAAACGAACTTTAGTATGACGTAACTGTTTTGTTTTCGTCTCTAGGTTGTATTTGCATCAGTAGTTGTTCCTGTCTCGCGGTTGGTGAGTGTATATCATTATTTGTTTAGATTTTTGGTCAATTTGAGTGTATATTCGTGTTTTTTTGTTTGGTTGATAGGTGAGTCTATAATAAAGTGGGTTGGTTACGTTGGAATCACTTCTGGGCCATGGGGAGCTGTAAGCTTACTGGCATAGACCATGTAAAGGTGTGTTATACCTTTTTTTTTCCGGTCAAAGGTGGCGGGTACCTTCGATAGGTACTTTGATCCCCCAAATCTATGTATGTGTGTACGAAAATGGACCCCAAAAAAATCAGCGTGTAAGTATGAAGAGATAAAAAAAAAAACCAGTGCTTGTGTAGGATGAGGAAAAGAAGTAATGGGTCCGAGAACAAAACTTGATTTTTGCAAAGACTTTGTTAACAAAAAAAATATATATATTTAGCTTTAATTATCGTCTCTAAAATCTAGGGAGTAATTATGTTGTTGCTTCTTATCCTTTTACTTGATCAAATTGTCATTTATCTGGAAATATGTAGACGCTGGACATTTTAAGCCCAACATAACAATATTAATTAAGGCCCAATCTCAATTTATCTCAATATATGTTCCCTTTAAGACCAAAAGAAAAGGAAATGTCACCTTCAAGTCATTGCTTAAACTCAAAAGCATAACCTAAAGCTTCCCTTAGCTAATACTCTTGTTGAATTTGAATAATTGTTGTTTGATCCTGTTGATAGTGCTTTGACCAACATGCTCCTTGTCTACCAAACTTATTAACTGTAGAATTTTATTGCTAACATCTAGCTTCCTAAATTAACCTAACCCATGTTCCATTAACCACTTTCAAGCCCATTTTAGCTCTCCATCTCTAATCAACTCATTACGCCTTAGGTTGACAAAAAAAAATTATGCAGTTAACTTTGTTTAAGTTATTTTGTCACTTGGCATTTAAAAGTAAAAAAAAAAATTTTGCATGTAAAACACAATGAATGATGATGTTACATGTGTGATCAAGGCACGCGTTGCAACTAGAGGAACAAGGTTTGATTATAGCTAAGGTAAATTTGAAATTTTAACGGTGGATATAAGTTGAACTGGTTATCATAGAAACTGTCCCCGATTTAACGGTTCAATCATCGATTCTCTAACTACCAATTTCACGTGATACTTTTTGGTTTGATGTTGGTGAGTACATATTTAATTTTTAATTTAAAATTAATGTATAATTTTTTAAGCATGGATACTGATGCATGTTAACATTTTTCTTTTATAAATTTTAGCTTCAAACAAAATTAATTTTATAGAATATACAAACATGCCCTTAATAATCATCAATCTTCGCAAACTATGGTGTGATTCGATAGAGCAATTCGAAAAAATTCTCAACGTGGGCGTGAAAAGAATTAAATAATTGTTTTATTTTTCTTACATTATATGGTAAAAATAATCGAAAAATAAGGTACATGCAAAAATTAAATAAGTTCAGCTAACAAAGTCTCATTTCTGGTCGTCCTCTTTAACAACCTCTTCCGCATCCGCAACAACGGTTCGAACCTTGAAACGCTCAAGCTTATCTTCAACTGGCTCCTCAAGACCACGGCAAGAAGTGGTGTCTTGTGATTCAACATGTCTTTTACTTTTTTTAGTAACCATTTCTTCTGAATTTATTCGGTCTCTAAAGTTCGCTGAATGTTTCTCGTACTTGTCCAAAACGCGATCAACAAGCTTATCAACAAGGCCTGATTTCCTTTCTCCGTCTTCCTCTTCTTTTGCCATCGTTGATTGCTGGTGCGGAACGTTTGAAAATTTTGAGTTCTCAAGATTCTGTGGATAAGATGTGGATGGTGTTTCGAAGCTCATGTCATAACTGTTCAGGGGTCTCACCGGTTGAGGAAGTTGATTTAAGAAGTTTTTTTCACTTGCGGCAGTCATGGGCATGAATGTGAATGTGAGGCTTTATGGTCAGTGATAGAAGATACACGATGAAGTGCATATGCATTGGGCTTGTTGCTATATATATAAGAGTCTTAAATCCTTGGACTTTCTGGGAATGGTACTAACTAGTTTACGATTCTAATGTCAAAGTTGATGGGCAAAGGTGGACTATGTCTTGCACAACGGATCATTTTGTGTTTTTATCATTTGGGCCAATAAGATTGAATGATATGGAGAAAGTAAACTACCCCTTAGATTCTCAAAACCTTCCACGAAGTTAAGCACTTAAGAAGGATTAAGGAATATTAATTTGACACGTTTCTTATCATCTAGTTTGAATCTTCAAACTCAAATACCACACAGAAACCTATAGAAATATTCTTAAATTTTGGCCAAACCAAAGGGGGAAAATTTCTCCCCGTCAATATTTCATCTGGGATACTCGTCGAATTTCATCATCAACTCCCGTTCAAATCATTGGGCAATATATTACTTTTCTCCTTGTCTTGAATTTAGGCAGCTGTCACCTTTCTTCTCCCTATTGGATTTCTCATAACGTGTTTAAGAGGTCTACGTACACAACACGTAATTCGCAATAGAATTAGTAATGGGTGAGATTGTGTTTAAAAGAGGGAACTGGGAAGCAATTTGATATTAACATAAATTACAAAGTTGAATACCCTCACCTGTCTTGAAATTCACCCATAACAACTAGAAATCGTCCCTGATCCCTAAGTGCGGGAAAAGAACTAATTAAATTAATTCAATCAATCGAATTTGCAACTTATTTCTAGATAAACACGAATAAATAAATTTGGAAGTAGAAAAATGACTGAATGATAAATAATTTCCTATAAATTTTAATAATTATTACATATCAAATCAAGAATTACCAGATCCCGACCAATATCTCAGACACCAGACAATCTTAACAGGCCAAAAGATTTAAATTCGGGTTACATGAGATAAAACTTTATGTTGTTATCCAAACGCAAAAGTGGAGGGTGTGATCAAGAATTTTGGGGTACAATATACTGATAAGCAGCAAAATAGGTCTGAGCGACAGTAAGAACCAACAAAATGAACGCAGCAAGAGCGGAGATAAACGACCAAGGCGTATCAAAGTAAGTGTACTTGAAGCTAGCCCACTGCACGTGCCAACTATTTTGGTAATATTTGTGGACATCGTTAAACAACTGAGACAAATAACTCAAATCCAAGTCAACAGCAACATCTTTTCCAGCGTTGTTAACAAAATGCGCAACTTCACCTTCGGTCCCAAAGTGGTTCTCAATTATGCTCCTATCACAAAGGTACTCAACATCCCTATAAGTGTTTATGAGACAGTCCAAAAGGGTGATGTAGGTCGTGAAATGCTTAGAACAACCGCTATAACACTGCTCAAATGACACACAGTTTAGCAAAAAAGAACTCATGAAATCGTCCACTGTTATGGTTGGCATTTCGATCACGCCGTGCCTGAACGTCACGTGCAAAAAGCTATCGCTTTTGCCGGGAGTAATCTTAATCCCGGCGCGTCGAAGCTTCGAGACGCAGTGGATCACGTGGGTTGGTGTGATGACCCTTTTTGGAGGCTCTGTTTCTTCATGGCTTGGAATGAAGCTCGAACGAACCAAGTCAAGTAAATGCTTTTCTTTCGTTTCGGTTTGGTTGGTCGTGAGGATCACTTCGTCTGGCCTTTGCAATGAGTTGTTGAAGAATTCCAAGGCGAGTGTTGACAATGTCGGCGTTGACTTTTCTTCTGGTAGTTTAGAGAGTTGGAACAAACGGTGGAGAATGATGAAAGGGACTTGGTTTTCGAGCTTGAGAAAGTCTCTGTAAAAGAAGGGTAATATCCAAGCCATGTTGACTATTGGGTCGTCGGGTTCAAAAGGTACAAGCTTGGCGACTTTGCGGAAAAGTTCAATGATGAAGCACCCGTCGAGTACCATCATTTCGATGAAGTCGTGTGAATCGAGGTGAATGGTTTCGGAGTAACTCTCTCTGGCTTGTGATTCTAAAGGGGCAATAGCTTTCAACAAATCTTCTAAGGACAAGCCTTTGCTTTGAGTTCTTGAGAGAAGGGAACGAAGGTAACGCCACTTGTGCTCTTCGATCATGTTGAGGCGAGGTTGGCCACGGTGGTAGGGTCCTATGGATACAATGCGGGGTTGGTAGGCTTTTCCGTTTACTTCGATTAGGCTCTGTGGAACCCTGAAGATGCAACATGATCTTTTTCCAGCGGCTTTGCTCAGCAACTTTGGGTCCTCGGCAATCTTGAGCTCCATGGAGGCTAACCTCTCCGTGTCTACCTGCCACATATCTATTACATGTTGATTTGCTTCTTCCTCCTCCATTATGAAATTTGTTTGTTTCTGGGTTACGTAGAATTTTGAGAATGCTTTGTGGATCTTGCTGGTTGAGGGAGAGGGGAAAGAATTAGGAGAGCAATGAGTGTCCAATGATGTGAGAGAGTATAGATTAGTTTTATGGTAATAATTCAGTTATCATATTGTAAAAATAAAATTAAAATAATAGGACCTGTTTTTCTATGGGGATATTAAATTAGACAGTAACAGAAAATAATTGTCTTGTCTTGGGTATCGTGTAACTGTAGCAGTACAATTGGATGTGGCTATGTGATATTGACATCCATTAAATTAGTCAAACTTTCTTGGTCAAGACTCCAGAATTGTTGACATATTTGAAATTTCAACTCGTTTACTACCGGCAATTTTTGTATACTAAAAGGGGAAAAAGGGACTGGTCTTGCCTTGTGTTGCCAGGCTTCATGGAAAGTTAGGTTGCGTCCTTAGCTTGGACTTCCCAGTTGCCCCCCTTCAAATGAAAAACCTAATTACATCTGTATCAGTAAAGATTAGGAACGATGGTCATATGCATTAGACCAACCTAAAGGCTATAATTATGGACAAAAATATGGCAGGATGAAAAACACGTGTTGGTATTTGTGTGATTGTAAGTGTGTGTACATCCTAAGTGGTGTTGAGTCTTGTTATGTTAGGATTCTCTGTAACCATATATTCTTTAACCACACGAGTCTCTTTTCCGTCTGGTCAATTAACCAAGAGGAAATTCATATAATTTCAATGGGCTCAAAAATTAGAGTTTTTTCTGTTGTTTTTTCACTATTCAAGCTGAGGGCCCAAATAGCTATTGGGTAGCCCACATACTGCATCTCGTGAGGGAAGCATGCATCTACTTTGGCAATGTAATAGATCATCATATACTATGTTTTTTTGTTTTGGTTAAAAAAAAAAAAGAAAACCAGATAATTGGCCAATCATAACCCTTTGCTTAGTTAGGGCTCATTACGCTACATCCTTTCCTTTTTTCAAGTAAATGACATTTATTTATATTACTTTATTATACTCAAGAAATAGAAGCTATGTCTAATTTCTTAAATAAAATAGGTCTTTGTAATAAATAAGGGATTGTCTTGGTATTCGCCTAAATATATATTTCGAAGTTAAAAATAAAAATATTTATTATAGTTGAGCTTGTTAATATCTTAAATATCTTATAGATATTTGTCAGTACTTTTTGTTATATTTTCATGTATTTTTAAAATAACTTGAAGTATTTAACAAAATAAATTCAATCCTTTCACAGGTGTGTATATGGAACACAGTAGAAAATTTCAATAATTTCGTGAATAAGCTATCTAGTGTAATTATGTTAGTGTAATTACCCTTTTTTTAATTTGTAATAAACCCTTTTCACATTAATACGTTATTGATCCAAAGTGTTCTGTCGAGGAGGCAATAGCAAATTCAAAGTATTTGGAAATGAAAGTGATCGTTCAGTGGTAGCCAAAAAGCATAATCAGAGAAGCTACCGGCAGTGATTAACACAACTGGGAAAAGGAAAACCCTGAAACAAGGATGCAAATTGGATGAGTCCATTATCTATTACCTAATCAAATGGCCTTGGAAAAGTAAAGAACATGAGATTACACTGATTAGTCGCTATCAAATGGCCCCTTTCTAGAGATGGTCTCCAAATTACACGTTTCTCTGCCGACATCTGCAATTCCTTTACCCTCGCTGACGCCAGCTCTCATATTCCTTCCAAAAGCCCAAGAACTCACTTAACAAAGGAATTGGATCTTTTGCAGTTTTCCCGATACTGGACAAGGTGGTTTAAATTAATTTGAGCACACAAAATTCGATTAAGTAAAAAAAAATTATTTAAATTAAAAAATTTTGCTTAACTAAATTCAGTAAAAAGATATTTTTTATTTAAATAAAAAATTTCATTTAAACCAAAATTATAAAAAAATTTAAAATTTTTCCTTTTCTTTATTAAACTCCCAAAAAAATGAAAATTTTAATGTCTCATTGTTTATCTAGTTACTAAATATTCTTGAATATATCATTCCTCTCAATATTTTATATATATTATTTAGTGTATTACTTTTGTGAGCATTGATAGATGTAACTATTTAAAATTAAGTTAAATTATTAAAAATAATTATAAAAATTATAGAGATAATGATATTAAAAATTATTTGAAAAATAATTTGCAATATACACAATATGTCAATTTTAAATCTTTATAGTATTATAATTTTTATTTGATGAGTCTTTTTTTCAAAAAATATAATAAAATTAAAAGTATTAAAAAAATTTAATTGACAAACTTGTAATTTCTATTCTTTTTCATTTTTCGAAAAATCTATTAAAAATAAAGTTATTTATATGTGCATAACTAATAATAAAAATAATTATACAAAATATGATCACATGATCTTGTATATAAGTTATTCAAATTTTTAGTAGTTTAAAAAGAAAAAATAAATAAATTTTTTCTAATTTAACTTAAATAAATTTTTTTAATTTAAGAAAAAATTATTTTTTTATTAAATTCATTTAAAAAAAATTTAGATTGCAAGCTACAATTTCTATCAAAACTAAAGAAAATCCAAATCTTTTAAAGAACATTACAGTGAAATATTAAATCCTTCTTTGCAAAAATAATTTCTTCATAAGTTTTGCTAGCATATATATATATATATGTCTTCATGTTGCCGGTTAAGAAGAGATTAAGTTTTTTCTAAAAAAAATTATTTTCAAAGTTATGAGATAAATTCTTGTATAAAACAACTTATCACATAAGAATATAAAATTACAGCTATGCATGGAATTTATAACCGCTGCTCATCCCCTCTTCATTAACTTAAAACACAGAAAATAACTAGATGTCATTGTAAGAATAGTATGAAGAAGTGTAAAAATTTAGTATTTAAAATTAAGAAAGGTGACTTACAGCATCCCCACAGCCAGCTACAAATACGAGTCATGTACATATATACCCAGATTATCTTTTAGTTACTTTTTCCCCCCTAATTACTAGCCTATCCCATTACATTGCAAGTCAGACTGTACTCTCCTAAGAAAATGAATAAAGATAATCAATCATTCATACTAAGTTCCTCAGCTGCTTCAAAATTTATCCCAATTAACATACTAATTCCTCTGAAAATTCCTCCACCAAACAGCCAAATATAGCAATCTCAAGCTCCCCGGCCATATTTCTTATCTGCTCCACATTTTTCTTCCACTCACCATCCTCTCTAGAGAAGTCCTCTTCTATCATCATATCAATTGTGTTGGACTCTACTTCTTTCCACAACTCCAGCCTCTTGCATATCCTTTTTATCACCATGTCCCTATCAGCTTCTAAGGAATTAAGTCCTTTCTCTTCTTCCATAATGAGATCATAAACCAGTTTCTTAAAGTCTTCTGGGATTTGCTGTAAGTCATAATGGACCCTTGACTGAGAGAGAGCTTGAAAAACTAGTTCTCTAGAATCATTTTCGTTATATGATGCTTCGCTGTCCTCATCCTCTTCCATAAATGCTTCATCCCCTTCCTCTTCTTCATCCAGCATTCTTTTCTCAAGTTCCACTGGATCTAACTCTGCCAGTTTCTCAAATCTACGAAGCTTGTACAATAGCTGCTGCTTAGCTCCTGTAAAATTAATACAAAGGGAAAAAAAAATCAATAATAAATATCTTGTTCTGACGAGATTAATAATTATTTTATTTTCATGAATGAATGTTCAGAAGCAATTAGTGGCACATCTTGAATTGATAGTGAAGTGCTAAATCAATTGTTGAAAGAAAAATTCTAGCTACACAAATTTCATAATCTTATACCATTGGCATGCAGTGTGGTAGAACTATAGTGTCAGTATGTACAGAACAAGGGCCAAATTTAATCAAACAGTAAAAAAAGTTGCACGGATGTGTAAGATTATAAGCGTGTGTAGAATTATTGGTATGTGAGCTCTCTCACCAACCAAAAAGTACCATAAAAAATTAATGAAAGTGATAACAGTATGATTGCACAAATGTTATCCAACATATGGAATAGAAAGATTGCAATTAAGACAGATCTCCTAACAAGAAAAAATGTGGGTCACGCTGATATTGAAAACAAATGATCTTATATCTAGTTGTAAAGGATCCACATTGAATGGGAAATGCCGTTTGGACGATGAGCAATTGTAATCTTTTAGATGGAATCCACAGAGATAGCACGGTTAAAGATCAGCACAATCATATCACTGCATCAGCAATGAGCCCCTCTTATTGTTATTTTGTGACACAGAAGCAAGTTTGAAGAAGCGTGTACGACGGTGAGTTGGTGGAAAACGACCATACAACAAACAAAGGATGGTACAAAAATAAATAAGTTGTGACATACTCTGTACAACCGCATAGCTGCACTCCAAATCAAAACCACCGTCTTCCTCATCATCGTCGTTTCCATGCTCTTCCTCATCGTCCTCGAAAGGTGGGTCTAACACACACACAGGACTACACTGTTCCTTATCTTCTTCCTCTTCTTCCCCTGATTCAAATTTGTTGAGACTCTCTGCTTCATTATTTTCTTTCTCCTAGTAAAACCCACAAAAAAACTTCGTTAGAATAATGCTAATTTGTCCTAATTGCAAACTCAGCTTAATTTTGTTATTTGCCTCATAACCCTCCTAGTAATTCAAACAAAACTACAAATGGGAACAAACAAAAACATAATTTGTCATCTTTTTAAGAGTGTAATAATTTACCAAACAACCCAGTAGAAGTGAGAAAAGATTTGCATGGCAGAAACACGATCGAAAAGTACAATTATGAAAATTCAGGAAAACAAAACAAGAACATGAAATTTACACACGTGACCCTCCCCGGGCCCTTTAACAAATTTCGGAAAAAACGGGGTGCTATGATTGTCCCTGAAAAGCGACATTCCGGCCAAACTTGCAGACCCACTTCCCATTACCGACAAAATAAAAAATACTACCGAATCAAAAGGTTAAAACTCTAATTTTATTTATGAACTAACTGGGTGATAGTAGCGAGTTTAACCGAGTTGAAAATCAAAACAGAAAGAAAACACAATTACCATAAAATAAAAGAAATCCCACGACTAAAAATATAATAATAATAATAATAACAAAACGTAATGTGAAAATGAGAAACCTGTGTTGCGTGGCGATTCGGCGAGGGTAGCTCCGGCGTGTGGTGGCCGGAGGAAGGAGTGCTGGTTTGAAGAACAAAACGGAAAGGGCTTTCACAGAAGCAAGCACAGTCATTGGGATGGGTTACAAAGTAGTGATGAGAGTGGCCACTACTTGACGTTTCCATGCCATTGCTCTCTGACCAAACACCACTACTATGCCTTTCATTGTAAGAACAAGAAACACCCACCTCACACGCATTCACTGTTTTCTCTTCCTCCTTGCTACTCCCATTGCCATTGAGTTTTCTTCGCCCAAGAGAGGAATCCCACTTCAAAACATCCTTCACCGAGACCTTTACGCTTCCACCCTCTATTTCGCTCTTACGGTTCTGGTTTCGTTGTGTTAGTCTCTTGAACAAGGACCCCAATAGCCCGAAGGATTGGGTTTTGGTTTTGATTTTGGGTGAAGATTGTTTGTGGATCCTGAGAGCGGCTTCCAGAAGAAGAGTTGCAGTTCGAGAAGGGATGTGAAGAAAAATGGCGTTGGGTGATTTGCAGGGGCTTTTGGCTGGGGAAGCAAATTCTAACAGCGGAGATTTTCTGAGCTCTGGGGTGTCTGTGAAGGAGAAAAGACAAGCATTTTTGCACAGGTTCACAGAGAAGTTTGAGCTTTGAATTTGATTTATTGATTTGCGTTTCTTGACTTGCAAACTTGTGTTTGGAGAAGGCCTTTTCATCTGGCTTCGCCTATCGGAAATGTACTTGTTTAGAAGGAACGGTTCTTGATCCTCCTTCAGTAGCTCGTGCAAGTACTTCTGACCCATTAGACCCCAAATGTTGTTGTAATGAAGAACCCAAGCTTTCACGTAACTCTCAGGTTGAAGAGGTTTCAACTCTGTCCAGAAGAAAGAGTGAGGCGAAAGAATGAAGAGAGTTATTTGATTCAAATCCAGATGGGTTATAATATCGAGGCAAAGTAGTGATGAACTGGTTTGGTCATAAACGAATTATTGTTAAATAATGGGACACCAAATAAGATTAAAATTTGGCTAAAAATTGTAGGTGTGTAAGTATGTTGGGTAGTGCCCTATGGTTTGAGTTGAGACTCGAGACTCTTTCTTTTGGCCTATAGGAATAAGGAAACGGGGGTTTCTGCTCAACGGAGAACGCTGGCTCACAAACAAGATCGTATGCATAAGCACAAGCATAAGGCAATAGTCTATAGACTATAGTATAGTTCTTTATTTATATATAATTTTATAACCCTCTTTTTTGCTTTTGTACAGCTGTGGCTACAATATTATTACGATGTGGTTACTGAGAAACAGGATGGGTAGTCCCGAAGTCACAGTACTTGAGTGAGACATGGTGTTACATATTTTGTCCCAACTCTGAACCAAATGCCAGGGAACCACGTAGCTCTCACATTTCTTTCAGAAACCTGCAACTCGCTTCTTTTTAATTTCGTCCTTGTAAGTTATATTACCTAAGTTTAACTCACTAATACTTGCTCCTATCATTTTTCTGTAAATAAATATTCCTCTCAGATTTCTTTTCCACTCCCAGAAATTTGCGCCGAAAGCATTTGCTGCAAACCGTGTTTAAAAATCGAAGCCTTACTTACTGCTTATTGTTAATTATGATACATATTTGTGGCATGTCTACATGTTTAACCACCATTGCTTATTTGACTACTTGTGACAACTTAACCAGCAGACACATGTGGGTTGTCTATATTACTTATAAATATGTTATTTTTTATATAAATTAAAAATTCCCTAGCATACTACCACCCCCCCCCCCCGGGGCCTTACCATTTTTTGTATGTATGAAACTCACACATCAATGTCATATTCTATTAATTGCATCCACATCAATATTTTATATGTAAGTAAAGACAACGCATATCAGTAACCCACCAAACCATTTCTTAGAACAACATATTTCAGCCACTCGCTAAAATGTTTGTCTATCTTGCTATGAACGGTGTTATCTTTTATATATAAGAACGTTTTCAAAAAAAAGTTTCACTTTAAATGCTAGTATATATAGTTGGTAGATACTTCTCATTTTACAATTTTACATTAGAAATTGACAACTATATGCCAGGTTAATCAATACGTGGGATGACTATAATGAAATTATTTTGTATGATTATCCATTTTTAAGTCACATTTTATGTTGTCTTTAGTCAATTCCAATTTGAATTTTAAATACCGGATAATAAAAAAAAACCACATGATTTTTAAACTATAAGAGAACTAGCAAAACTCTATTTTCGGTACTATTTGTTGAGGACAGTGTATTTTCGGATATTACATTTCGTGCTTAAAATATTTTATTCTAAGTATCTTTCGAAGATTTGCATAGTGTGTAAAGTTATATACTAACACTAGGTGACAAAAATGGTATATTCAACGAAACTTTCTGCATGCGAAATCTATCAATCAATACAATATATAAAGGAAAATTCATATTTGCATAAATTTTCCTTTTTCTGACCACTTGTATCACTATTTCTCATCGATGTTTTAACAAAATGAATGTTTTAATAAAATTTCATTACATAATTCAAATTTTAGTTTCTAATTTATAACAAACGATCCAAATCAACGATACTTGTTGACTTTATATTTACCAAGAAATCGTTAATATGATATACAGAATTGTACGTGCCTTATTTGGATGAAAACTAACATAAGAAGAATTAAAATAAAAAAATGGATTATTTAAATAGATAAAAACGAAAGAAGTGAAAGAGAGAGTAAAATAAATAAATAAATTGTATAAAAAGTATTTCATTTTAACTAAAACTGGATTCAGTCTAAAATTTTAGACTTTTTATTCTATTATTTTTCCTTAAAATTTATTCTTATATTATAAAAATATCTAATTAAAAAACTAAAACAGATGACGAGACGTAAGAGTCCTTCTCTTCCACTGTCATTCTAATTTGTGAGGAAGTTTATTTTCGTTGCTTTCACACACACAAAAAAAACATTATTTCTCTTGTTTAATAAATAGTTAATTTATTTATTTTTTTGTTTTATCTTCCCCTCGTTGATTTTTAGCCATCTATATTGGGTGTTAAGACAATAATTAAAAAATATATTGCAGATAAATATGATTAACATATCTTAGCACAAATGTTCACGAGATTTCCAGTGATTTTTAATAAAAATTATTTATTAATTATTTTGATGTATTGCTTAATATATTATTAGTTAATAGTCATATCACATTATATTGAACAGTTTAACTTTTTAAATAAAGAATTGTACAGGCCATTAATTAACCTGACATATGATTTTTAAAGGACAGAAATAATTTGTTTAATAAATGTGGTAATGTGATATTTCCTTTAAATAAAAAGTAAAAGAAATAAATTAAAATTGTGCGGAAATAATGAAAGAGTTGAATCTCCTTGTAAGGACTGAGGAGCATACATGTTCGATACTCAAACTCTTCTGACCGATAAAGCTGCCAATAACTGAAATCGTGATTAGTATAATTGTCGGATTACCTTTTTTTCCAGCTGCATCACCACTCACTTCAACTGCCATTATGGAAATGCACGCAACACTGCAACTCTACAATTAACCATCTTGCGTTGACGCCTTCAACTCATCAATTTTTTTAAAATAATTAATTTAAAATTATTCATTGTGTGTTGTAATTAGCTGAAAGTATAAAACAATTATAACATCACGTATAGTATTAATTTGTTATGCTAAAAGAATCAGATTAAAAGAGTATTTAATAAAAAAAACACATTTTGATCTGAATATTGTTAGTATGAAAAGGAGATCTGGGGACATGAAATATTGAGAGATGAAAGAAGGAAACTTGGGAAACACAGAGAGGAAGACGACAAAAAAGGGGTGAAGATGGAAGCGAGGAAGATGCTTTGCCCTATTTTTGCGTCACACACAGCGGAGAAGCGGATCTTGACCCTCATAGTCGACCTTTTTACTTTCTAAATATATTTCCACATTTGATATCATTATCTTTTTATTAGCTTCTACGCTAATTCATGGCTACACCCTCACCCTGGATCGTTAACTTTTGAGGATTGTGTAGTGTACTATGGATCCTCCTTTATTCAATTAACCCCGTCCGGTCCTTTTCTATTTCCACTTACTTCAACTTTAATTTAAATTTCAAAAAAAACATGCCCCAGTTGGTTTGTTTATACACGAGTCTTGGTAAATTCTACACACTTTGAGATTTGTTAAGTGTACCACATTTCTATATTTATGTTTTTGCACTGTTAATACAAAAAAGAATACACAGGGATTGTCTCGCCTAGGGAGAAGTGACGCGTGACCCACTCCATTTTATGTTTTTAGCTCACTTTCTGTGTAAAGTGTTTGCGTTCCAACTTTCAAACTCGAGTGTCTTTTTTGTTTAGTGAGCGAAAGAGAGAGAATGTCTGGTCACTGGTGGGTGTTTGATTGATTTTTTACGTACGAGTCTCACCGCACGCTTGCACTAAATCCAACCAAGTCAATTTACGCTTCACACAAACAATGCCTCTAGCAAGCACCACCAGTGTATGCATGACAACTATGCTGGTGTCTTTCTTCGTAGATTATATTTCTTGTTCTCAACACTAGGAAAGAGATGGTTGAGGACAACAAGAAGGGGAACACATGCCACGTCTCTACGACCATTCAAAATCAGAATAGTACAAAACAAATTAACCTTTTTAACACAAGTGGGGTGCATCTTGTAGCCGATCACGACCGTCTATGTGGACGTAATTTAACCCTAATTAACCATTACTTTTAATTATTACTGCCCACTTGTGTGGAATTAATTAGATTTTCTTGGTGGTGGGGGTAACTAAATTTATTTATCTACCCTAGTCTCAGCTAAAACATTAATAATATATATATATTCTCACCTGCATTGCAATTGCTATGGGAACAAAGTGAATGCAATTAATTGGGACGTAAATGAGTTTGAATACCTTTTGTCCTCAGTTTATAATAAATTTGTAGTCCTGTCGTTTCTTTCTGAGATTGGCGGTGTTTAAGTCCAGTAGATCGTTTCAAACAGTTCTGTTTCGATGCTTGTGTATCTTCTTACTGTTGTGATATAAATGGGTTTTGTACTATTGTATTCGGTTCAACAATTTTTTGCTAATAAAAAATAACTTTTTCTAAACAACAGCTAGAACAAGATAATGTGTAAAATAATACCTATTGATTGAGAAATCATCAATTCAGATTGAGCTTAAAAAGAATGTGCTAGTATATCTATACTAAATTATAAATTATATTATTAACATCTTAACCATTAAATTATTAATCACTGATTATCACTTCATATTTTATTTCTAAAATACAAACTATACTTTAAATTAGTCAAATCTTGCAAAATATAATACGTAATTATTCATTTTCTTTTATTTATAAAAAGATAGTGAAGTTGAATTCAAAATTTTTACACATTGTTCGTAAAATACGTGAAGGTTTGATTTCCTCGTTAGTTTTTTAAATGAAATATTTGTCTTTATTTGTTGAAAATTTTAATCTTAATATAAACACGAACATGCACCTAACTACTTCGCTTATATGTAGTAAAACGAGTGGGTAACAGCAAAAGATACAAGAGCATAGATTAACCAAGAAATAACAAATCTCATGCACGCTCTTTTTTTCGCCCATAGCTCCAAAATACTGATATAAGACAGAACAAGCTCATAAATCCAAGTGAAAAATATAAAATTACAGAGTTCGAGTTCATCCTTAGTTAATTTGTACAAGTACTGTTAAGCAACTCTCCCCATAATGTCTTTCTATGACCTATTATTTTAATTCACACTCACTTCCATATGTCGGGCATAACCCAATTTTAAATTCCATCCACGCAACATGTATAATTACAACAAAACTAACATTGATTAATTAATATAGTTTTCTCTTTGCACGTTTCCTTATCATCTCACCTAATGCTGAAATTAAATGTGGTAACAAAAGGTGACGGGTCATTGTGAGAATCTTCGGCCACCTGTCTTTCTTTGTTGTCCTAATATGATTTGCTAATTAGTGGGTAATATAATCCATCCACCTGTAAACGCATGTCAAAGTGCTTTGGCACTTTATCAAGCCAATCATTTGGCTTCTTTTTTTTTCACTTTTGTTTCTTTTCCTCCAGATTAAAGCGGGGAGAGGAATCCCCTTCTCTTTG